TCACCCATGATGCCACGGCGTACCTCCATTGTACCAGCAAACCCTCAGCTCCACAGTGCATTAAGCCAGAATCCTAACCTTCGCCTAGCATCCTATCAGACACCTTTGCAAATGAGACGGTCATCCCTGTCACCATCCTCACCAATGTTAGGAAATGCTCTGCAGAACCAGCAGTTGATGCAGGCCTCATATCGACTGCCAGACGGATCCTTGGTGTCACCGTACGGAAATGTTCCCTCCTCTCCTATGCTTGGCAGCGCCCTTCAGAACCAACAGATCCGTGGGGCTGCGTTCAGTTTGCCAGACGGATCGGTTATTAGGGTAATTATAAAAGGACAATGGAGTCAACCGTTGTCATGGACTATAACGTGAAAGAACTGCTTCTTCTGTTACAGGATCCACGTGTTCCTATGTCCCCCAATCTCTCAAGAGCTCTTCAGAATCAGAACCTCAAGTCAGCTACATATACTCTCCCTGACGGCACCATCGTAGACCCCAGGAACCAGGTAATTAGTCATACTCAGTCCTTCCTCTGATTGTACTCTTATTACTTATTTCATTTAGTTATTGATCATTTCTGTCTGTTTCTATTCAGCAACCAATATCCCCAAACCTCGCCCTGGCCCTGAACAACCCTCACCTGCGTGAGGCCTCCTACTCTCTTCCTGATGGTACCATGGTGATTGACCCCAAAAAATCCAAGTCCCCGAATCTGACTGCAGCACTAACCAACCCTTACCTGAAAAGTGCATCATACACTCTGCCAGACGGCACTATCATCATCGATCCACGGAAACCCGTCTCTCCAAATCTGACCAGTGCCCTTCAGATGTCTTCCCTGCGCGGTGCATCTTTAACTCTACCAGGAGGAATCCATGATCCCAACGTACCCTTGTCACCAGATCTGGCCAAGGTTAGACGTGAATATTTTACACATGTTGCTGCTCTACTGCTACTTTTTACATTCTTAACGTGTGATGTGTTAAATGTGAGCAGTCGTACAATAATGGTGTGTTTTGTTTAAAAAACAAATAGGTGAAATTTGTACGTTTTTACTCAACTTGGATATTGTAACATTTAGGCTCTAAGTAACCCCGCCCTCCAAGGAGCTGCTTACACTCTCCCCGACGGAACTATTATTGTTGACCCCAGGAAACCAAAGAGTCCCAATCTAACTGCTGCTCTGCAAAACCCTCATCTAAGGGGTGTGTCATACACACTACCTGATGGAACTGTCATTATTGACCCACGAAAGCCAATTGGTCCTGACCTGTCTAAGGTTGGTTTATGTTACGTTAAGGTTAAGCCAAACCAATCGTTTTGGTTTAAATGATCGATAATATTTAACAATGAATAGTTCAAGAAAGTGTGACTCGCTCTGAAACAATTGGCTTTCGTTTAGTGGGACTGTCTGTCGTGTTACTAACACCAGCTGCTGTCGTGTTCAGGCTCTGAGTAACCCTGCCTTGAAGGCAGCCTCGTACACTCTCCCTGATGGGAGTGTCATTATTGACCCGCGAAAACCAAAGAGTCCAAGTCTTTTGGCCGCCCTGCAGAACCCCCATCTCCAGGGAGTATCTTACACCCTTCCTGACGGGACTGTCATCATCGATCCACGCAAACCCCTCGGCCCCGACTTGTCTAAGGTGGGTTTAAGTTTCATTATGCTGCAGTATGTTTTCTACCTTGTAGAAGTTGGTCCTGCAAAAACAGTCAATCCACTACAGTCTCCAATAATCCAGTTCAATGAGAACGTCCTATGTCAAATCCTGCAGGTTCTTCTGAATCAAAACCTTCGTAAAAAATCATTCAGCCTTCCATACGGATCTAATCTGGTTGTGCCTGGTCAGAAGCCGAACCTTGGATTTGCACTAAGGCAAAACATGGGACTTCGGACTAAAGGTCTGTATCAGCTGTCGAATGACTCAGGGCTCTCAGCGATACCTCAGCCCACCCTAAGATCCGCTCTGAGAAACGATGACCTCCGTGGACTCAAATACAGGTGTGTGAGGAAACAAGGTACAGAAAAGAAAAGGCCAAAGTAGGGACTCTAATGTTTTTTCTCCCGTAGGCTTCCAGACCAATCTATTCTCACCCGTCGGTTCCAGAACCCCGACCTGTCTGAAGCAATTAATAACCAGCAACTCCGCTACGCCTCGTACCGGGTGCCAACCGCTTTGCAAGGTGAGGATAACCGTTACGCTGTGGTGCCTCCGTATGGGCCGCGGTCAGGTCACTGGGCCAGAAATGCCCGAGGAGGAGGAGGGGAAGGAGGGGAGGATGTTTGGGCAGCTGAGAAGGTCTTACCTCACGGAACTGTCCAGAATCTCGCCAAGTGGTCCATGTACAGAGAGGACGGGATGTTGGAAGGATATTCACCCTCACCTCGTCTGGTTGATGGCCGTAAGGACCCAGACTGGAAGCCTGACAGAGAGAAAACCCCTGGTCAGAACTGGTACGACAAGGTAAAGGCATGTTTATAATTTAGTCTTTATTTCATGTCATTTTCCCAGTTCTCACAAACAAGAACAATCTGTTACCTGCATCATTAACCTTTGATCGACACCAAGCCGTGACCTTACCCTTCACCTCAGTCAGTAGTCAGTGCTGC